TTAAAACTTTTGCAACAGTTATATCCTCGCCTTCTATTATGTCATTACAAGTTTAATATTTTGTTAGCTGAACCTAACTGAGACCTCCCAGCTCAAGAATTACAATAGGTCCTTAAAAGGGCAGGACCTCATATAGCCCCGGAAAATGTTCAATACAAAGCAGCTTATTCTTACTTGGGGTTTCAATTCGTGGGCACCACAGTTCGCCCAACCTTGTCTCTGGTACTCCATCTCTATTAACATCATCTGAGCTCCAGCGTGTATTGGGACATATCAATTGGTTACAGCCCTCTTTGGGTGTTCCTACTTATTTGTTAAAACATTTATTTCTATTGCTGGCAGGAGACTCCTCCCCTGCCTCCATACACGTCCTTAACGAACAACATTAGAAATTATTGCAACTGGCTAATGAAAGTTCTTTTAGCATTTTCTGGATCATTCCTTACACCTCTTTATTTTGTTAACACTTTTAAGCCCTACAGCACTACTGGGTCAAAGAACCAACGAGAACCAACTATTGATTGTTAAGTGGCTCCACTTGCCATCACACCTAAACACCATATTCCCACTCCACTTGCCTCCATTATTTCCCTAATTTCTCTTGGTTGTCATTAAGCTTTGTAGTTACAGGGCTGTGATGGCATAAAAATCCATTTACCTTTTCCAATGGAACAAATGACACGAGTTTATACTCATGATTTATCCTTTCAAATAGCAGCATCTAATTACAGAAAACACTTTACTTCCTGTTTTCCTTCAGACTTTCATCTCCAAGCCTTAAAACTATAAGCAACAACCTGAAAGCAAAAAACTATAATCAGCTTGCATCCTATTCCAAACGCTCTCACTGTTTTTACTAATAGGAAGCCACATCAGGAAGTCATGGTTTGGTGTGCGAATACCAAAGGAATAAACGCTTTTCTCCGTAAACATCCTCAACTCAAAAAGCAGAAGTCGGAGCTCTAACACTAGCTCTTCAAAAATTCCCCCATCGTGTGCTTAATATTATCCCTAATTCCTCGTACATTGCCAATCTTGTTCCCCTATTGCCTCAGGCCACTATAAAGGACAATATTTCAACTCATCTGCTGCCCTAATTTCTAACTGTTCAAATGTTGCTGTCCCGTCGCACTAAAACCATCTTTCTGACGCATGTTCACAGCTACTCCCATCTTCCAGGACCCTTGGCAACTGCGAACAAAATTGCAAATACTAGTCTGAGGCTGATTAATTCTTTATTTACCAATCCTTTTTCTTCTCATCAATTTTCCATCAAAACGCCCATTCACTAACAAAATATTTTTCTATTTCTAAGCAACAAGCTCAGCACCTTGTCGGTTCTTGCCCTACTTGTCAGGCATTAACATTTTCTAGCGCTGCCATAGGCACTAATCCCAGAGGCCCTGCTCCAGATGGGCTACGGCAAATGGATGTTACTCATATCCCCAATCTTAAACCTCTCCCATATGTTCATGCTTCTATTAATACATTTTCCAGCGCTACGTGGGCTTCTCCTCAAAAAGGGGAGTGTGTTAATCACATTAGTAATCATCTTTCTCAGGCTTTTGCTGCTTTGCGTTATCCTCGTCTGCTTAAGACGAACAATGAACCTGCCTATGCTTCTCAAACATTTGCTGCTTTTTGCATTCGCTGGGATATCAAGCATACGTTCGGCATTTCCTATAATCCTACTGGACAAGCAACGTAGAACAAGCTCATCACCTGTAAAAGCTAGTTCTGAAAAAACAAAAGGGGGAGTTGCCTCCCTTGACAAAGCCAAGAGTTAGGATTAATCTAGCTTTGTTGACTATTAACCATTTACTTTTAAAATTGCCGGCAGTAATCTCACATGCGGTGAGATTATTTTTCTAACCCACAGGAATCAGATAAACCATTAATATTGTATCAGCCACCGGATCCCGTGTGGAAGGGGCCAGTGCCCCTTATCACATGCAGAGGAGGCTACGCTGCTGTGCTCTCTCCTATAGGTCCTCTGTGAGTTTATGCTCGATGTGTTAATCCATACCATGAGTTGGCATCAAGGATTGAAAAACCTGATCCCAAAGTTCTGATTGATGATGACCGAGGAGCCAGAGAGAAAGACACCTACTGTTCTCCAGAGAAGGGGAAGGAGATCACGAGTTGCCTACTTGGGAGGACATGAAAATACTCTGGTTGGCGGGGCGTGGTGGCTCAAGCCTATAATTCCAGCATTTTGGGAGGCCGAGGTGGGTGGATCACGAGGTCAAGAGATCAAGACCATCCTGGTCAACGAGGTGAAACCCTGTCTCTACTATAAATACAAAAATTAGCTGGGCATGGTGGTGTGCACCTGTAGTCCCAGCTACTCGGGAGGCTGAGGCAGGAGAATTGCTTGAACTCAAGAGGCAGATGTTGTGGTGAGCTGAGATCATGCCATTGCACTCCAGTCTGGGTAACAACAGCAAAACTCCATCTCAAAAAAAAAAAAATACTCTGGTCATACTGAAACCACTGTTCGCAATGCAGGACAGGAACTTACACCAGAAAATTTACTATTGGCTATGATGGCAACACTCACAGCTTCTTCGATCAAAGTAGGGGTCTTAATGGCAACATTGTTATGTTTGGTCTCTGCTAACACCTATGTCCAATGGACCCAGATCACAGCGCAGATTGTTAATCCAACTGCTGGGTGTGTGCCCAGTTTCCTGTTTCTAGTGGTGCAGGGTATCCATGGAGTATGAGAACATCTGTCCCAATGGGAACATCTAGAGTGGTGGCAGAATAGAAAAAACCACATCCTACAATGAGATTTGGCAGCAGTTTAAAAGATAATTTATAGAAAAGGACTGAGGACATTTTTTACAGTGGAAAAAACATCATAATATTTCTGGTTCCTTATTTTCTTTATATTTAAAGTGGTGTCACACCAAACTGCCCCCTAAACCTTCCCTTGGTTATTCTGTGTGGGACGGAGCTCTCTGGTATACCACGGAAAAAGTGGTGTTGCCCCAAAGGATACCACATTGTATTTCTCAAAAAGAAGAAATTCCAGTAGGTAGTTTACCTATGGAATTGTATCAGACCATAAGTGTACCAAATTCAAGCACTAAATGGGGATCTGAGACACTGACCAGTCGACTGGGACAAAATAATTCTTATGGAGTATATGCTGTCCCTCCTGGTAATTTATGATTCCGTGAAAGTCATGGCTGGTTATGCCTCCCATTAAATTGGCCCAATATCTGCTGCTGGGGAAAGCCACACATTCTGGCCCGAATCCTTGAACATCTTCCTCAATTACCAAATAACTGGGAAATGGTAGAACATAAATACTGTCTAGATGCCAACATGCCTCCTGGTGGTACTATTTAACAACTATATTTTCCCCACAAGCCGGGGCAATCTCAACTGAATAATCTGTAGAGGCCCTCGCCAAGCACACAGCTGCTGCCTTTAATGCAACTCAAGCAGGAATTATGTTGCTGAATAAAGAAGTAAGCCAGATTCAAAGAATTGTGCTACAAAATATGGCTCTAGACATACTCACAGCAGCCCAAAGCGGGAGTATGTGCTATCATGAAAACCGAGTGCTGCACCTTATCCCTGATTATCAGCACACTGTGTCTGTGACTTTAAAAACCATCCAAAAAGAAGTTTCTAGGATCCAAACAATTCAGGTGGACCCCATCCAACTATGGTTTTGTACATTGGGGTGAAATTTTTCTAAATGGGTCAATATCATGATAATTTGTATACTTGGATTCTTGTTAATCTTACCTTGCTATTTTCTATTTCCTGTAACCATTGATAGGAACAAGAAGATAATCCTCCTTATTAAAAACAAAAGGGGAGGCCGGGCATGGTGGCTCACACTTGTAATCCCAGCACTTTGGGAGGCCGAGGAGGGCAGATCACAAGGTCAAGAGATAGAGACCATCCTTGCCAACATGGTGAAACCCCATCTCTACTAAAAATACAAAAATTAGCTGGACGTGGTGGCACGAGCCTGTAATCCCAGCTACTTGAGAGGCTGAGGCAGGAGAATCACTTGAACCCAGGAGGCAGAGGTGGCAGCGAGCCAAGATTGCCCCATTGCACTCTAGCCTAGCAACAGAGTGAGATTCCATCTCAAAAAAAAGGGTGGGGGTGGGGAGGGAATTGTGGAGAAGCTCAGCATCCTCAAATGTTCTTGATTACTCCTTACTGCAAGTTCCCAGAAGTAGGAGATCAAACACTGAGACACACTCTCCCTATTGAGAAGACGTTGTGGATGAACTTAGCAATTACGCAGTTGGCCAGAACTCGAGAATGCTGAGTACCCTATGAAAGTGCTGATGTTCCAAGAAGATACATTTGCTTTCCAATAAACCTCCTCTGCTAGGCCTGATGCGGGTGGCTCACACCTGTATTCCCAGCACTTTAGGAGGCCAAGGCAGGCAGATCACAAGGTCAGGAGTTTGAGACCATCCTGGCCAACATGGTGAAGCCTCATCTCTACTAAAAATACAAAACAATAGCTGGGCATGGTGACACTCACCTGTAATCCCAGCTACTTTGGAGGCTGAGGCAGAAGAATCGCTTGAATCCAGGAGGTGGAGATTGTGGTGAGCCAAGATCACCTCACTGTACTCCAGCCTGGGCAACAGAGCAAGACTCCATCTCAAAAAAAAAAACAAAAACAAAAAAACTTCCTCCGTTCAAGAACATTTCCTGAACCTTTGTCCTTAATAATTTATAATCAGATTAATTATGAATTAGGCTCTTCCTTGTATCCTCAATAAACATGCTGTGGAACAAACAGTTGGAGTCAGTCCTCGGCTGGACTGTCCACTGCTTTGCTGTTTCTCTGTGTCTTGTTTTTCTTTACCCAGGGACTGTGGGCTGCAACCATTTTTATTCTCTCTGCATATGTTAAAGACCACATGAAATCGTTTTTTAGTTAAGGCATATAGAGAATTTGTGATCACCCTGTGTATCTCTAAGTATATCCACATAGGGCAGAAATAAGAGTCTACCTGACAACTATGGTGGACATGGGGGGCTCTTTCATGTTTCTCTTCAACAAGTGGCATTTCTTCCACGCATCAGTTACATTGTTGACGATTTTTCTTTTCCACGGGGGCATTCTGTTCGGCTTTGGGGTCAGATTAATCTCTTTTGGCAACTGATGTCTTGCTAAGATTCTTTCTAAGCCAGAGAGTTCAGGATTCTCACCTAGTAATAAAATAAGCATTAATATATTCAGTGTTTCTCTCCATCTGTGCATAGCAAGAGTAACACGGCACTGACTTGAGAAAAAAATACATACGCAGCTTAATAATTCCTTTTTAGCTTTGTCATTCCTTTATTCCAACAATATTACTGAGCACCATTTAGATCCTAGCCTGGTCCTAGACATCTAGCAGATAACATTGTAAATAAATAAAAGAATGAACAAGAAACCAGACAGGCTAGGACCGCACAAATAGAGTTGGTTGTGTGTGCCTGATTCTCAAACTAACAGCGAGTTACCATGCAATTATTATTATTGTGATCTCACTTTCCCTTTAACTGCATACATACTTAGTTGGAGTTGCACATTTGGAAGCTTCCCAGAAGAAACAGGGTGAAATTATTGTCAGGCTCCAAAACTTGGAGCTCCCTTTTATTGGCAATTTTGCCTGAGCAAAGGTTACTACATAGGACTGAACTGAAAACAGCAGCATGCTGTCAGTTAGAATGTGAGAGTGTGACTTGCTGTTCTTTTTGACTCCACAAAATTCATTTCTGGCCATAAATGGACTGTTTTTTTCTCGCTCTGTTATAAGCATGTCTATTTTCAGCTATGCCAGTGGGAAATGCCTTCCTTCTTTTGGGTGCTCCAATAACTGAGACTTGGGGTTTGGACCGCTACAGGCGGCCAGTGGTACAGTTACAACAGGATGGTGGAGCTGCTTTGAGAAGATGAAACCAGTAACAGAGGGGCTTAGATCCTTTGTTATCAGAAATGGAATCGCATCCCTCCCTGGTCGGCCAGCAGCTCCATAAGAGCTCCAGAATAGAGTGTAGTGGTTTAATTATAGCTCCCTGCAGCCTCAATCTCCTGGGCTCGAGCGATCCTCTGATCTTAGCCTCCTCAATAGCTGGACTACAGGCATGCACCACCACACCCAGCTAACTTTTTTTTTTTTTTTTTGTAGAGATGGGGGTCTCACTTTGTTGCCTAGGCTGATCTCAAATTCCTAGCCTCAAGCGATCCTCCTGCCTTAGCCTTCCAAAGTTAACTTTATATTTAAAATATAAAAGAAAAACAAGCATTTAAAAAAAATTATGAATGTTTAGTTCTTTTTCTTTCATTCTTCATGTAATCATTTCTGGGTAACCAATACAGGCAAAGTATCCTGCAAGTAGAGAGTGGGTTGACAGGAAAGGGAACAAAACCTATTTTTAAGGTCAAAAGAAATTTCTTCTAGAGGACAGCTTTAGACCCAGCAGCAGCGAAACATCAGTATCCATTATTAAATTCTTGGTCTGATGAATGAAAGTCAGAGAAATAGGGTCATGTCTTCAGGATGCATTTGCAAGGCAATCACTGTATGTTTGGAAATGGCATCTTGGCAATGAAGCAATCTTTTAGTGATGAATTCATGACCTCAAAGTCCAATGTGCTCCCAATGACTGGACTCAGCCTGAGGCCGGGTCCCTGAAGGCACAAACTCAGGACTCTGAAGCGACATTTCTTCCCCCTTAATGCCATTCACCTCACCTGTGTGAACCTCCTTAAACAGGCTTCCAAATAATCCCTGCACCCACACACCTCTGAAACAAAGAACCTCACTGCTGCTTGGCAGTTGTACATGGCAGGAACTACCAGCTGCTAAACATCTATCAGTGTATTGACATCTATCGGCGTTTACATTGGGAGGCTACAGAGACAAAATCTAAATCAACATAGAACGGGAAAGTCTCTAGAAAATCAAAACCCATTTCTCCAACTTCATGTAATTACTGCATTTTCAATTTTTTTTTTTTTTTTTTTTTTTTTGAGGTGGAATCTAGCTTTGTCACCCAGGCTGGCATGCATTGGTGCAATATTTGCTCACTGTAACCTCCACCTCCCAGATTCAAGCAATTCTCCTGCCTCAGACTCCCAAGTAGCTGGGATTATAGGCACCTGCCACCACGCCCAGCTAATTTTTGTATTTTTAGTCAATATGGGATTTCACTGTGTTGGCCAGGCTGGTCTCGAACTCCTGACCTCAAGTGATTTGCCTGCCTTGGTCTCCCAAAGTGCAGGATTAAAGTCATGAGCCACCACACCCAGCCTCAAATTTCTTTTATGTGCATTTATATACACATACATATATACAAATGTACAGTCTTCTTTTGGCATACTTGGATCCATATTGTGTATCTTCCTTCACAGCTTATTAAAATTCTACAATATGTATTGTAGATATGTTAATGTCAACCTTCTTTTTAATAGTATTCTTCTAGCCGGGCGCCATGGCTCAAGCCTGTAATCCCAGCACTTTGGGAGGCCGAGGCGGGTGGATCACAAGGTCAAAAGATCGAGACCATCCTGGTCAACATGTGAAACCCTGTCTCTACTAAAAATACAACAAATTAGCTGGGTGTGGTGGCGCGTGCCTGTAATCCCAGCTACTCAGAAGGCTGAGGCAGGAGAATTGCCTGAACCCAGGAGGCGGAGGTTGCGGTGAGCCGAGATAGCGCCATGGCACTCCAGCCTGGGTAACAAGAGCGAAACTCCGTCTTTAAAATAATAATAATAATAATAATAGTATTCCTCTATATGGATATATGCCTTCATTTAATTATTCTGCTACTGGATGTCATTAGGTCATTTACATTTTTTACTATTATAAACAATGCTTCAGTGCACGGCAATGTTCATGCATCTTTGTGTTCAGCTCTAAGTTATTTCTCTAGGTTAATAACTGGAAGTGGAATTACTAAGTGGAAGGACATATATGTGTTACAGGACATTAAAATACAAATTTTTCCACTGTGTGTTTTATCCAAGACTGCAAAGTCTGAGAAAAGTTGAGTAGGTGCCAGACATGCATGCATGCACTGCATACCTCTCAATCTATGAAAAAGCTGAGCATTCTTTCAGGATTCATGAAGGCACTTGAGGATTTCTTTAGACACAGAGTTGGGGTAGTGCTGTGTACTATATCATTTCACTCCCCACCCTCGGCTGAAGGGAACTTTAGACAGCGACCTGGGGAATTGGACTATGTCTCCTAATGCTGGTGCGTCACTTTCCTAGGGCTGTCATAACAGCGTCACGAACTGTGTGACTTAAAACAACAAATTTATTGTCTCACAGTTCAGGAGCCTGAAAGTCAGAGAGCCTGAAAGTCAGAAACGAAAGTGTCAGCAAGGCCGTGCTGAAACCTTGAGGGGAGAATCTTTCTTTGTCTCTCCCTAGTTTCTGGTGTTTGCCTGCAATCTTTGGTATCCTTGACTGTGGATGTATCACTCCCATCTCTGTCTCTACTGTCACAAGGCCACCGTCTCCTGCTTGTCTCTGTCTTCTTATAAGGACACCAGTCCTACTGGATGAAGAACCCACTCTATACCTATTATGACCTCATCTAAGTTTAATTAATTACATCTGCACTCTGTAACTACCCTATTTCCAAATCTAGTCACATTCTGGGGTACTGGGGATTAGGACTTCAGCATATCTTAAGGGAATATATATCTTGTTGAGGGACTTCTATATATCTTGTTGAGCCCATAACACCTGGAAACATAATGGTGAGTGGCTGGGATCACAGCTGCCATGGCCACAGAGAAAAGAGGGCAGTGTTGAAACCAACTGTGCTTTCACCAACTGGGTGAAGGTATGGGGGACAAGGGCACAGATTTTCTAGGAGCTTGATGTAAACCCCAGCTGGGTGTGGTGGCTTACACCTGTAACCCAGCACTTTGGGAAGCTGAGGCAGCGGATAGCCCGATGTAGGGAGTTTGAGATCAGCCTGGCCAACATGGCGAAACCCTGTCTCTACTAAAATACAAAAGTTAGCTGGGTGTGATGGCACATGCTTGTAATCCCAGCTACTCGGGAGGCTGAGGTAGGAGAATGGCTTGAACATGGGGAATGGAGGTTTCAGTGAGCTGAGAACACACCACTGCACTGAAGCCTGGGTGACAGAGTGAAACTCCATCTCAAAATAAATAAATAAACAAATAAATAATAAAATTTAAATTTTTTTAAAACTGTAACCCCCTTGAAAAATATAGTTGACCATTGAATAACATGGAGGTTAGGAGCACTGACCCCTGCACAGTTGAAAATAAACATGCAAGTTTCTTTTGTTAAAGAGTCTTGCTACGTTGCCCAGGCTGGTCTCGAACTCCTGGGCTCAAATGATTCTCCTGCCACAGCCTTTTGAGTAGCTGAACGTGGGAGTATAGCACCTGTACCACGCCACCACACCCAGCTACGTTTTGGACTTTTGACTCACTCAAAACTTTTGCTAATAGCCTACTGTTCACCAAAAGCCTTACTGATAACATAAACAGTTGATTAGCACATATTTTATATGTTATCTGTATTATATATCACACTCTTACAATAAAGTAAGCAAGAAAATGTTATTAAGAAAATCAGGCTGGGTGCAGTGGCTTAGGCCTGTAATCCCAGACCTTTGGGATGCCGAGGCGGGTGCATTGCTTGAGGTCAGGAGTTCAAGACTGGCCTACCAACATAGCGAAACCCTGCCTACTAAAAATACAAAAATTAGTCAGGCGTGATAGCAGGTGCCTGTAATCCCAGCTACTTAGGAGGCTGAGATGGAGAATCGCTTAAACCTGGGAGGCGGAGGTTGCAGTGTGCTGAGATGGTGCCATTGCACTCCAACCTGAAAGAGCAAGACTCTGTCTCAAAAAAAAGAAAAGAAAAGGAAGAGAAATACATTGACAGTACTGTATTTATCAATACCATAAATTGACATCATCTGTTTACAAGATAAATTGTCTGTCTGAAGTGACAACATCATGACTTTTCTCTGCTTCTTGGAAGTACCTCCAGCATCACAAGTGGCCCTTTTGTGAGTCCCATGCTGTTAGTCAAGTTTCATGGTATTGCACTAAATGTGAAAAATACACAAGAACTGTGAAATCACTTTACCGTGATCTGCAGTTTGCTGGAGAGATGAACTGCTCACACAGAAATGACTAGCATCACCCGGCATTTTAAGTGG